GCAGGCAGCTGTCCCCGTGGCCTACCTCGCAGGGTTGTTAGTGAGGCTGGACGGCAGATAGGTGAATGAAAATACATTTGAGGAGGGGAAACCGCTATCCGGGGGTGTGTGTGAAGCGAGGGCAGCCTTTGGTGGCTTGACGGTGACACGTCAGAACGTCCCCACCCGGGTTTGAGCAGGTCAAAACAGCCGGCTTCTTACGCCGCTTGGGCCGCCTCGCCCAGTGAAATGACGCCAGCACCCCACGCAAACAGCCGGGGCGGGACGCAGAAGTGTGCCAAGAGCCTCCAGGGCAAGGCAGAGGCTACCGGGGAACTAGGTCACCGAGTGTGGAAAGGGCAGGAGGTTTGCAAGCTCTGGAGCAGCCAACCTTTCACCTCCACTCCGCCTGGTGGCTGGGGCGCCCTCTGGACATGCACAGAGGGCTCCCCCTGGCCAGGGTGTACCTGGGAGGGGAAGGGTGAGTCAGGAGAGAGGCACCCTAAAGTGACTTCGACCAATAGGGGGGGGGGGGCTGGTCTACCAGGAAGTGGGACTGCCAGACTGCGGGTGCTTGCAAAATGTAATTGTGGTAATTAAAAAATAAGATTATTTTAAAGGATCCTATGTTACTTTGGGGCTCCCAGCCCCCCCCTCCTTTTTGTGTTGCAAAAGTGAATTTCTCTTAGTTGAGCAAGCGAGGAAATATTTATCACTCAGCCATATAATTTTGGTCCTTCCTTCCTTCCTTCTTCCCTCCCTCCCTTCCTCCCTCCCTTTCTTCTATCCTTTTCTCCTTCCTTCCTTCCTCCCTCCCTTCCTCCCTCCCTTTCTTCCTCCCTTCCTTCCTTCCTTCTTCCCTCCCTTCCTCCCTCCCTTTCTTCCATCCTTTTCTCCTTCCTCCCTCCCTCCCTCCCTTCCTCCNGGTCCCTTCCAACTCTGTCATTCTGTATTCTGACGGGGGGCTGGACTAGAAGACCTCCAAGGTCCCTTCCAACTCTGTCATTCTGTATTCTGACGGGGGGGCTGGACTAGAAGACCTCCAGGGTCCCTTCCAACTCTGTCATTCTGTATTCTGACGGGGGGGGCTGGACTAGAAGACCTCCAAGGTCCCTTCCAACTCTGTTATTATTATTCTGTATTCTATAAAATCCTTTTGGGGGTTTCTTTGGGCAGTTTAAAATTCAGGGTTTCTAATCCCCCCGCCCCCGTCCCACCAAGTCTGCTTCAACCGGTATTTTGTGTCTAGTCAAACTCACCCCGAGAAGGACCTCTAAGCAAATGGCTTGCCTTCCTTTGCCTTGAGCAAAGTGCCAGAGAGGTAGACTTCCCCTGTCCATGGAGGATCCATTTTGCCCCAGGGCGCAGGGTGGGGGGGGGAGAGAGAGCAACGTCCCCCATGACTCAGCCATTCTTCCCTCAATGGATTCTGCCTCTGTTTTCCTGCCGTGTGAGAGAGATTGTCATGTTTGTCTAAGACGTGCTGTGGTCGACAGAGGTGTGCGTGGCTCTAACCACTCCACTCCCTTGTCCTTCCAACACCATTCCCGAAGCAGTGGCAAAGAGGACTTGCCCTTAATAGAGGCTAAATTAATCCTTACCCTCTTCCCATTGTTGAAATCCTTCACCACCGAGCCGGAAAAACATTCCTTTCCCGTTGTGTGTTTGCGCACACACAGATTGCCGAGTCATGTAAACAACACCAGGTGCCTTGCACAACCTGGAGAGGACTAAGTACCAAGGTTCCCATTTGGGTTGATGGATCATTTAGTTCAGGGGTAGGCAACCTTGGCTCTTTTATGACTCGTGGACTTCAACTCCCAGAATTCCTGAGCCAGCCATGCTGAGGGAAAAGGGAGAAGTTTCCAAGCTGAGCCATGCTGGCTCAGGAATTCTGGGAGTTGAAGTCCACAAATCATTAAGGGGCCATAGTTCCCCCACGCTGGCTGAGGAATTCTGGGAGTTGAAGTCCACAAGTCATGAAGGGGCCATAGTTCCCCCACGCTGGCTCAGGAATTCTGGGAGTTGAAGTCCGCAAGTCATGAAGGGGCCATAGTTCCCCCATGCTGGCTGAGGAATTCTGGGAATTGAAGTCCGCAAGTCATGAAGGGGCCATAGTTCCCTCATGCTGGCTGAGGAATTCTGGGAATTGAAGTCCACAAGTCATGAGGGGGGCATAGTTCCCCCACGCTGGCTCAGGAATTCTGGGAGTTGAAGTCCACAAGTCATGAAGGGGCCAAGGTTGCCTACCCCTGATTTAGTTCAAAGTTTAGTCTTTGGTAGAAAACTAAGTTAAATTCATCGACCTCACTTACCCAGGTCA